CGCCCTCACTGATACCCCAGCGCAGAGGCGGTGGTCAGTCTCTGTCCGTAGAGCGCGTAGGGGGAGTAGTAGGGTCCGGTGGCGGCGGGCACCGGCACAGGGGCACCGGGCGTGGGGAGCGGGCTCTTGGAGTAGGGGTGGTAGCGGCTACTGAGTCCCAGCGCGTGGTGGGGGCTGCGCAGCGCCAGCGTCCCAGGGCTGCCCGGCGCGCCGGAGGTGGGGATGTGCATGTGGCAAGCCATGGCGGCCGCGGCGGCGCTGGCCAGAGACGACGAGCTGGGGTAGCCCGACAGCAGTTTGTCTGTCCCAGGAAAGGCCGTATGGGTCCGCAAATGGCTCAGCAGCTCTTCGGACGTGGCGAAGCGCTTGTCGCACGGCCCGTTGGCCGACACCCAGTTGCAGATGTGGGGGAGCGGGTCGTTAGGGAGCATAAAGCCGTAGGGGTAGAGAGGGTGGCCGGCCAGGGAGGGCGGTGTGGCGCCAGCAGCCGCGGCGGCCGTTAGCGACGAGTGCACACCGTGCAGTGGATGCGTGGGGTACACCAGCGGGTATCCAGACTTCAGCGCAGCGGCCGCAGCGGCCGGATCGTGTGCGCACGAAGCACTGGCTGCCGCCGCCCCTGCCAGGTGGCTGGCGCAGTGGTAGCTGAGGCAGTACGGGTCCCGGCACAAACTGGCTGTCATCACCGACGGCGGAGACGCCCCGGCCAAGGGGCTGGAGCCGGCCGGCTTACTGCAGCCCAGAGACCCAGCCGCGGCCGCCGCCAGCTGTGCCCCCACCAGGCTGCCTGGCTTGGTGGGGTCGAGTGCCACGCCATGTGGCAGGAACTGGGGCGGGTAGCCGGCGTAGGCCCCGGCCAGGCTGCCTGGGTAGGTCATGCCCGCGGGAGGCAAAGGAAACACTGTCTGGCCTGGCTTGTAGGGCGAGACGGGCGCCACCAGCCCAGAGCCCAGCACCGAGGAGGAGGTGGGCGCGCTGGGGCCGGAGCTAGAGCTCGAGCCAGATGAACCGCCGCAGTCCGAGCCCAGAGCCTTGCCCCCCGGGCCCCCATCGGGGTGCTGGTTCACGTCCACATTAATCCCGCCGCCGCAGCTAATCCGGCCGTGCGCCAGCCCCGTGGGTCCCCCTTCGGCCGAGGTGCCCCCGGCGCCCTTGCCGCCGCCGCCCACGTCGGTGTCTTTCTTGTCGTCCTTGCCCTCCGGGGCACCCCCGGCCGAGGGCAGCATACCTCCTGGGGAGCAGGCCGAGGCGCTGGAGCTCGGGCTGCCTGTCCTGGGCGTGAATGGCTGGCAGGTGGCGCTCGGTACCCGGAATCCCGACTTCTCCGCCGAAACGCCCCCGCCGCCGCCGCCCCCGCCGCCACCACCGCCACCACCGCCACCTCCCGGCTCCTTCTTATCCGAGCCGGGTTTGGAGTACGGCTTGAAACTCGACTTGTCCTCCACGCCGATGTCACTCAGCTTGAGGGGGCCCGATTTGGCGTCCTTGTCGCCTGTGGCGCCGCCGCCGGCACCGCCCGCGCCGCCCCCGTTGGAGGCGACCGAGGAGAGTTTGGAGGAGGGCGAGGGGTCGGGCTTCCCGATCTGCGAACATGTTTGGGCCAACAGCGCCAGCGGGCTCTTCTTGGCATCGAGCTGCGGGGTCAGATGATTGGGGGGGTCACACAGAGAAAGAAGTGGAAACCCTTTAGAATCTGGCTTCTGGGGTTCAAATGCCTCTCTGCAACAGCCCACGAAGATCTTCCCAGCCCCGAGGCACAATTCTAGGCGGCACCCCCTCTTCAACACCCACTCACAAACATTCTCGCCCTTGGAAAAGGCAGCAGATTCCCCTCCCCCCACCCCTCCCAGCAGCATCTTTCCTGCCCTCTCTGAACGCTAACTGGATTTTTAAAAAGCGAAATGTTTTGGTTTTTGGTTCCTAGACCCACAACTGCACCCCTTCCCCACAAACACTCGCTAATTCTTCAGAGTAAGGGCTTGGACGGCTGGTGCCTCAGAGGCTGTGTGCACACACTAGCTCCTGGCGAGCTGGAGGACGGCGACTTTGGAACCGTATTTCAGACCTCTGCCTGCCTTCAGTGCCGAGTGAGGGGGCCTGGGTCGGGTTAGGGCTTTGATATCAAAAGGAGAACCAAGTATTGGCGGCCTTGCTCCCTAGCATTCACACCCCATTCCACCACCTCCCTTTTCCGCCCTAGTTTTGAGGTACGGAAGCAGTAGCCTCGTCCCCCATCCAGGAGCTGAATCACTCCGACCCCCCCCACCCCCGCCCAGATCCCGAGAAAAAGAAAGCCTTAGGGTGGCAGCCAGGGTAGTGGTCCCAGCGCGATCTAGAGAGAGGGTCCTTACCTCGATAGGGCTGACGGGTGTGGAAGGCAGGGGCTGCAGGTACTCGGGGTGCAAAATGTGGCCAGTCCGTGCTGTCAGCATCTTCAGCACCTTGATTGGCAGGCGGTTGGCCTGGCGCAGGGGGTCAGAGGGGGGCACGGCGTGCACAAAAGGCTTGGTGCTGCCGGCCGGGGACGAGCCTGGGCCGGGGCCGGAGCTATTTCCAGAGAGCGCGTTAGTCCAGGCAGGGTCTGCACCGCTGCCTCCGCCGCCGCTGTGCTTACTGCTTCTTAGGGCAGAAAGCGAGGGCGCTGTGCTCATGACCCACCCGCGCGCATGGGAGCAGCGGGGGGGAGGGCTCCGGGAGGCGCGGGGCGGGCTCGGGGCTGCGCGCTCGCCCGGGGAGCAGGAGCAGCAGGAGGAGGAGGAGCTGGCTCCGCGGCCGCGGGCGCCCAGCGCGCCTTCTCGGCGCCTGGAGCCAGACGCGAGTAATCCTGGGTGGCCCGCAGCGGAGCCGTGGCCGAGCTGGGGAAGCCGGCTGGACTACCGGAGTGCCCGGCGGCTCCCGATGTCCGCCTTGGGCTGCTCCCCTGCGCTGCGCTCTCGCGGCCCCGCGCCGGCGCTGCGCTCTACGATGTGAGCCGCTGCGTGTCCAGCCGGGGCTCTGGCGAGGAAACTCACTTCAAAAGCAGCTGCACCGAGGGGGAGATTAAAGCCTTTGCCGCCTTCCAATCAAATGGGAGCCCGAGGTGATTGGAGGGTCAAGGGGATGTGACGCGTCCCGCGCCGCCGCCGCCGCCGCCGCCAGGACTCTCAGAGCTGGTTTTAATGGGCAGCTCCCTCCTTGCCGCCCCCCTGCGTGTCCCCTCCCTCGATTTCGCTCCGAGGACGAGATGGACATCTATTCTACGTTTGCAATCCGCCGCCTCCCTCTTTTTTTCCTCCTTGTCGTTCTTCCTTTCCCCTCCTCTAAAATAAACTGAAATCTTCTTTTGGAGGGGGGTGCGCGTGAGGAACAGACTGCGGGGGTATCCAGAAGGAGCACCGGTGAGAGTGTGGACACCAGCCAGACTGTCAACTCGAGGGGTGCAGGGAATCCACACATCCAGTGTTTTTTCTTCCGCAGTAATCGAGATCCCGCCCGGCGCAGCGCAGCGCGGCCACTAGGGTAAGGCAAGGTGGGGAGCCGGAGCTGGAGGAAGCCCGCCCGCCCGCTCTGATTTCCTCAGATTCCGCCGCGGAGAAACCAGAAACTAGATGGGCAGTCGCAGCGGCGGCGGCTCCACAGCGCGAGGCGCGCTGGGCTCTCCGCCCTTCCCGGCCACGTGACGCCCGGGGACGAGTAGATTGGGGCAGCAGCGGGGGTCACATGTTTCCTCTGTTTCACACTCAAGTCTCCCCCCAACCCCCCATTCTTACTCTCCCCTTCCACCCTCTTTTCCTCCCTCCCCCCGTTCTTTGGGCATCTCCACCCCTCCATCAATTGTCAATGTTCCTCGACCGCAATCAATCAGTTATTTGTCAGCGCTTGTCAATCCGCCCGTGATTTATGTCAGCTTTTGTTGCTGATTACAAGGCTGGTGCGACTTGAAGGGAAAAAGGAGAGGGAGAGAGAGATGAAGAGGAAGGAAGAGACCGAGAGGGAACTGGAGGAGGGGAAAAGAGGAGCGGCCTCCTGGGATGAGGGGTGGGGTGGGGGCTCTAAGAAGAAGAATGAAAGAGGGGAAAGAGGCGGTCTGTGTCAGGAAAATGAATAGTGAGAGTAAAGTGCGCAGGTGCGCCCAGGGCGCCGAGAGGGGCGCGCAGGCCTGGAGTGCGCGCCTGCTTTCTCGGTGTCGGAGAGACGCCCACCTCTGGGGGCTTCGATCTCTTGGGGTCGCGGAGTTCGGGCGCGACTCCGGGTACCGGAGACCAGCAGCAGCAACGTCTGACACGGGAGATTTCCCGCCACCCCACCCCGCCGCCACTAGTCCCCGGGGGGCGTGTAGTGTGCTTAGATCAGGCTGCCATCCTCGGTAGCTCCCTAACCCCAAACTCGGAGACTTCTAAGAGCCACACCAGCAATGAACCTCGAGTCCTGGAGGTCAATGGTGGGGTAAACCTCGCCTCAATTCTGTGACATCTTCAGTCGTAGCCAGGGCTGAGAGGCTGCGAAGAGGCCCGGTGGTGGGTGTGTGTGGGGAGAAACGTCTCAGGCTCACTTTTCCCCCCTTCCGACCTTCCCTCACCTCCTGCCCCGCGCTATCCCCGCAGGCTGGGGAGCCAGGGTCACTCGGGGCTGCTTTCTCGAATAAGGAACGTCGCGTCGGAACGACCTGCGCTGGGAGAGCAGGGGGAAGGAGCGAGAGGAGAGGGCGGCTGCCTGTGGGAACACGGGTTCTTCCAAGGAAGCAGAGCGGGACTGCCGCGTTCCCCTCGATTTGCACCGTCACTAGGGTCTGGAAAGAAGAGGGGAGGCGCTATGTGCGTGCCACCGCGTACCTGGACCTGGGTGCCCAGTGTGTATGCATGCCTGTGGCGCTGCGTGAGTTCTCGGGGCTTTGATAGCGTCCAGGGCGGGTTCGAGAGTCCCCTCCAGAAACTCGCAGAAACTAGAGGGGGTGGGTGGGTGAAGAGGACACACCCCCTTCCTCGGAACCACTAGGAAGACTTTGAATCTCCCTCCTCGGTTTTTCCGCCCGGGCTCTTCCTTTGTTGTCAAGTCCTTTTGATAAATGGTGGGGCTGGGAGCTTTGGGAGCCGGGAGCCAGTGTGTGCCCGCGAGGGGGGCGGGGGCCGAGCCTGGAAACCTGGTTTCCACCGGGGTGCGCACCCAGGGCTGAGCCGGTACGCGTGGGGGTCGGGTCTGGAACCTGCCCTCGGCGTGCTCACTCTCTCCCCTCGGCCCATCTCACTTCCCTCCCCCACCTCACTCCCCTACCCCGCTTCTCACTCTCTCACTCCGCACGGGTACCGAGAACTTTCTGGGGTGAGTTTTAGAATTTCCTCCTAAGGCATTCTTTTTCCGCGTTTGGATTTTATCCCTTGGCTCTTGTAGGCTGGTAAACTTTATAAGATGGTAACTTTACTGAAGCTCATTTGGAGAGAAGAGGGGAGTGAGGTGGTGTGTGTTTGGGGCCGGTGTTTGTCAGTGTAAGAGCACACCTGCATTCAAGGGAGTGTGTAGTGTCCGTGCGACATCTGAGGAAGGTGAGTCCAGTCCGCGAGCGGGTGGCGAGGCCCCACGCTGTACAAGTTGTCTGAATGGTCTCCCGGGAGCGAGTCCCAGGTGTGCATTTCGGAGGGCGGGATACTCCTACGCTGTCCCTGTGGGACAGCGTGTCTGTGAAGCCGCTCTTATCCTTCGCGCGTGTTCGTGTCTGCCTGGTCACTGAGTGCGCGGCCTTCTAGACTCAACCAACGGCAGTGCTCCCAACGCCGCGAGCCCAGCTTTGGGCCACTATCGCTGCGGCCTCCCCGCGAGGCCCGGGCACTGAAATTCTGGGGGCTGCGGCAGGTCTGGGGGTGACGCACCCAAGGGCGTCTGTCCACAGCCTCGAGACGCAGTTCTGTCCCCTTTCCTCTAATTCCAGCTGCTTTCTTATTATGCCGGCGGCTCAGGGAAGGCAGCCCCAGCACCTGAATCCTGGGGAGCCGTGGAGTGCCTCCTGCATCCCTTGGTGTGGCCGCACATTGCTTGTGGGGCTGTGCTGTGCTGCGTGGGCGCGGGTAGTGGTCAGCGTGCGCTCGCTTTTCTCAAAACTCCACTCCGAGGGTCCGAGCGCATGGGGGCGCCTGGGGGCCTGTGTGCCCGGGGCTTTTGGGAGGCGCCAGCTTCCGAGCCTGCGCACCTCGAGCTGGAGGCCAAACCCCCGAATGCCGCGCGGGCCCGGGGGTGGGGAGCCATTAATTACTCTGCGCCAGGCCTAATGCCTCCAACCCCCAGCAGCGGTTGGCGTGGATGTCCTGCGGATTTTATTTGCACACAATGGAAATGATTTGTTTTCTCTAAAAAAGGAGTGGACATGGCAGATATTGGAGGAGGAGGGTGGGAGGGGAAGGAAAGGGAGAGAGCTGAAGAAAAAAGTTTGAAAATGCCTTGAACTATTCACTGTCGAGATGGCTAATCAGTATTGAGGCCGGAGGGCAGGCGGGCCGCCTTTCACCGCCGCTTCCCTTTCATCTCGGGCTCGGCGGAGGCGCTCAATTAAAAGCCTATCAGTTTGTAAGTAAATCAACGCCTATCAGAGTTGTCACATCAAACAAAACGATTATTATTGCAGCCCGCCTCCCCTATTAATCTCCCTCGAAGATAATCCGCCTGACAGGTCAGGCCCGGCGAGCTGGAAAGCCTGGCCCAGAGCGCTCAAACAGTCCAGGACTGGCGAGCGCCCCCGGGGGCCTTCCTACCCGAGTCCGGCCCTGCCTCGCGGTCCCTGGAAGGCTGGGAGAGAAAGCGCGCGCAGAGACCTCTGCACCCAGGTCCGCCCCACCCGAGTGTCTGAATGGTCTAGAATCAAGGCCTAGAATCGCGGGGCCCGTAGGGGACAGTCCCGCACGGCCCTCGCAGCTGCTCGGGGCTGGGGAGGCGACTGGAGTGTGGGAGCCGTGGCCCCGTCTGGTCCTGGGGTCTCGCCTCGGGCTGCGCTCTCCTCGGCGCGCCTCTCCTGGCTCTCGTTTTTCTTTCTCCCTTCTCCTTTTTGTTTCCTCTCCGGCGTCTTTCCGGGCTCCCCCATTTCTTTCCTTCATTTCATCTTCCTTTTCCCTTTTCTTATTTGCCAGGGAGTATTTCCCATTCTGGCTCCCTCATCTCGGTGTGCCGTATAAACCATTCGTGCGCAGCCACACTGCCTGGAGTAGGACGTTCTCAGGGCCCGGGTTATTTCTCCCGTGACAGGGTTGCCTCAGGAGTGTGCAGTTCCCAGAAACTCATGGCAAAGTCCACTCTAATCTCTTTCCGAGTAGGGGCTCTGAGGAGCACTGCGCCTGTTTAAGGGTTTGGTGGGTTTGGAGGGGTGAAGAGGAAAAAGTGGGAGAGAGACTGGTAGACAGTTGCCTTATTATGGAATTAGTATTTGGCCTTGGAGTTTCAGAGCTGCAACGTTGCCAACCTCGCTGTTGGCGTTGCCTGGGCTTTGCAAATATGTAGAGAAGACTCACAGGACATCCGGGCCTCAGTAGTGACTGCGTGGGGGGGGGGGTGCCTGATATTTTATAAGTAAATACACCCAGATAACTGCCTCTGTGGCCTCAAGTGAGTACCCCAAGAGTTTGGGTGGGGCCTGGCTTCTAGAAGGCGCAAAAATTGTGCCCTTCTTCCCGGTGGCCTCCGGCTTCCTGCTTTGGGATGCCTCAGAATCGAGCCGGACCCGCCCTTTTTTGCACTCTTCCTTCACATCTGTAGACCCAAACGGCCAGTGCCGGAGCCAGGTGGAACCGGCATTGAGGTGTGGCTGAAGTGTCTGAGAGGAAAGGGCTGCCCGCGGGAGCCCAGGCCTGCCACCTGACATGCCGGTGCCCCGCGAAGGCTCTCCGCGCCTGCATCTAGGAGAACCCCAGGGCGCTGCAGTATTGGGCGTCGGGCCGGGCCGAGCCTCTCGCAGCAGTCACGCCGAGGTCATCCAATAAAGCCCACTTCAACTTGCACGGCACTTGGGGGTGCAGGACCCGTGGCCCCCACAGAGGGTTTCCGAAAGCCTCTCCATTTGTCTGCACTCTCCACCACCGACCTTGTAGGAAATTTATTTCTATGCCCAGAAATATTGTTTGGACAGAGTGGCTCGGTTATCTTCGAGCCTGCTTTTCTTAAATATATTTATTTCACCTCTGCCGTACTGCAGATACTTAAAGATCTGTAGATACTGTACCCCTCAGCGATGCAGGACTCACTCTGTTTATAGATAATATTCTCTGGATGGTTATTTGGACATAAGTTCTATCTCCAGCCCAGATGTCGCCCAAGCAGGGACTGTAAAAGGACACTTGCTCTAGAATTTTTCTGAAATACATGTGCATACACGGATAATTTAAGAGTATTTTTATATTCCTCGCTAGATCTAAATATTCAGATGTGTTAATTATATGCCCCGGAAGCTGGAAGCGATCAGTGGTGTTCACACTGGACGTGGAGCTGTTTGTATAATTTTCATCTCCCTGCACTTACACGTGAATCTCAATCTAATAAATTCAACCTTGTCATTTTTAGAATCGATGGGATTTCTCTGGCTGTCGTTTGTGCTGCATTTATCCGAATACATCCAGCTCGCAGGCATCCTGCAGGAAATGGCTCCGGCTGTGTGTACGCCGACACCTCGGCCCTGCGCGGGACTCGAGGTGGCTCCTAGTGCCCGGGCTGCTGCGAGTCCGGCCTCCAAGGGAGGCTGGACAAGCAGCGCCCCCAGGTTGAGCGGCCTCTCACTGCTTGGCAGTGCCTAGCAGCCCCCACCTCTGCTGGTACTTCGGAAACCCACCCCGCCAGGTTCGCCCGCGGTGAAAACTGAAAGCAAATTCCCCTACAGGGGTAGCCCAAACTTAGACTAAGGCTCTCTCCTGCGCCTGTATCTCGGAGAACCCCCGGGCTCTGCAAGTTAGCAACAGAGATTCTTTAGCGGCTAAGGAAGGGACCCGCAGGGTGGGGTGGGGGGCAAAGAGGACACTGGGTGACCGAGCCTGGCCGGGGGCGAAACGCAAGAGAACGTGCCACCTTCCTTATTTCAATGCAATTTCTCCGCCCCAGATGGTAAAAATAGTTTCCAAGCTGCCGCGGATGCCCAGGATATGTTTGCAAAGACCAAACTGGGGAGGAGGCAGCTTTGTAAAAGTTGCAGGAAGATTTGTCCAGAAGCGTCCGCCCGGCAGGGCTCAATAAAGCTTGGGACCACCTCCACGTTCCTTGAAGCGGAGGCCAAGAATTAGCCTGGGTAACCCCCTGCCCAGTTCTCTGTCCTCACTTCTAGCCAGCGCTTAAATAACTTCCCGCCGCCTGCCCTGCAAACTTCCCGGCGCAGCGCGGGCAAGGCCAGGACGCAGCTAGGACTAGCAAAACCCCGCCGCGGCGCGCTCGGCCCCAGCCCTGAGAGGCTGCCCAGGGTGGGAGAACCAGTGTGGTTTCCGATCCCACTCGGCTGCCGAGACCCTTAAGGCTGATCCCCCCAACCCCTGGGAACCGGTGCTTCCCTCTGGTAGCCGCGATCTTGCGGGCCGGCGAGGGCGCAAAGTGCGCGTGCTAGCCCGCGCGGGGGCGGCCGCGCGTCTCTCCGCGGGGCCTGTCGCCGGGCTGGCCACGGCGGGTGAGTGATGAGGGCAGAGAAGGGCGCCCATAAATCGCGGGTGTCAGGGCGAAAAACTCTCTTTATTGTCTGTGTGATGGATGGGCCCGGGGACGAGACACCAAATACTTCGTATCGCCTTTAAATGGGAACACATTTTCCGCGGCCATAATTCATGTTTTTTAAATAGAAAGTTTGAAATGTTGCCTATATTTCACCGGCACTGACATATTTATGAATCGCTCCCTGCATGCAAATATCATTATTTAAAGCGCCAGGGAGAGCGCGGGGGAGGGGAGAAGGCGCGGTTCCCGGGGCGTGGGGGTGGTGAACCGGGGAAATGTCGGTGGAGGGGGGCCATCTCCCTAAAGGGCAGAGGGTGAGGTGCGGGGAATAGCCGTATCCGGAAACCGAGCGTGTCCTAAGGCTTCTCTCCAGCCGCCGGACCCCGAACGGCCGCCCCAGGATGTTTTTCGCGGCTGGGACCGAAGAGAGGCCCCCGTCCCCTGCTGGGAGACCAGAGGGCATTTTTCGTCCCTCTCTGAGGCTGTTATCCCAGCTGAAACCACCTTTTCTAAGAAGAAAGTTTTTTTTTTTTAAAAAAGGAATTTAACAAACACAAATAATAATAACCCAACATGTTTCGTGTTCTTTGCCACTGCATCGATTTTATTGATTTTCATTCTGCAAACCTGGGAATGTGCGCGCCCGGTCGGGGAGGCTGTCAAAACCCAGTCGCGGCGGGGACTGGGTGGGGGACAATCCTCTGGCGCCGCGGCCCCGACCCGCCCCCACCCAACCGGCGCACCACCTCCCAGGCACCACAGAGCCTGCGCAAGCCGCCGGGCCATAAATGACCTGGCCCCCAAGCTCCGGGAGCTACAGTCCCGCCCCTCTCTCTCCCCTCTGCAGCGCTCCTAGGGTGCGCGTCTGCCCTTCCCAAACCCCCACTGTCAATACAATCGCTGTAAAAAACAAAAATCTTCTTAAAGCCAGGCACGTGCCGTCGGCCTCTCCCCTGCCCGCGTGGCCCAGGAGGCGCCCACACCTGCGCCCTCACTTGCCGAGACTTTACCTGTGCAGTCCCCCGCGGCGCCGGCAGCCGCGCAGGTAACCGAGAAATGGAAGGGAGGGCTGGGGAGTGGGAGGGACAGAGAGCACTGCCCGACGCAGCCAGACTCGCGGACCCGGGGCCTCCTCTCTGGACCGACGCTGGGGCCCCGGCAGAACCAGCTCCGAGAGCCGAACTGCGCCGGGGAGAGCGGGCCGGGGGAGGGGCGAGGGGAACGGGCCTTGGGAGGGAGGGGCGGGCCCGGCGGCACTTCCGCTGGGGGTGGGGCTGCGGGCTGACGCGCGGGGCCCGCCCCTCCGCCGCGCGGGCCCGCCCCTCCAGGCCGGGCGCCACCCCCGCCGCCCCCTGAGACCTCGCCCAGAACCGGGTTTCGCCGGAGGGCAGAGGGCAGCTCCCTTTTCCTCACCTGGGGGTACTCTCTTTTAAAGTCGTGGGAACAGAATATCTACAGAGTAGCGTCCCAGGCCCAAACTTGCACGTGAGATTTGTTGAAACTTAGGTCATTTGGTAGCCCTGACACCTGCCTGACCCCAGGGTTCTCACGCTCTCTGCGGATTCGACTAGCTGTCCTCTTGGACAGTCGGGAATCCAGTCTGTGCTCACAAGGTTCCCACCTGTTTCTGAAAGTCCAAAAACAAAAACTGACCCCTTTTGATAGTTCATTTTGTGCCAGGTGCCATTTAGAAACTTTGTATGAAGTATGAATTATGTCATCACCCACAGCGACTCTCTGAGGTAGGTACCATGAACGCCCAATTTCATAGATAAACAAATTGAGGCACAGAGAAGAAATCGGCCTTGCCTCACCCACATCCCATCCTTATCCTTACCCCTTCTTTTCTTCAGATCTGGGGCATCCCAACCCGTTATTCTGGGGGTATATTGGAGGGACGGGGACTTTTACTTTTCTGATGGGGGAGTACCAGCCTGTTAACCACAGCCATTTGCAGCTGAGGCCGGTGCAGAGTAGGAGGGGCTCTGCACAGAGGAGAACGATATAAATGAGATGGGGTCACCTCAGCCCCTGGCCAGCTCCCAACCTAATGGGAAAACCGGACCATTGAGTGTCCCTTGCTGTTTTCCTGTAGTCTCAGCCCAAGCCGGCGTGCTCTTTCTTTAAAAAGCAAATCCAATCATGTTTCTCTTCTGCTTAAAAGCATCCGGGTTTCCATTGTTCTTGAGAACAAGTTGAGCCTGCCTCCCCTGGCTGTCGGGTCTACGCTGGCTCTGCCCCAGCTTGCCTTTCTGCCTTTGTCTGCCTCCACTCTCCCTCACCCTGAACTCCTGCTACCTACGGCTTCCTTTTAGTTCCTCAAACGTGCCACGCTACTCCCCACTTCAAGGGCTTTGCTTGTGCTTTCCTCTTTCTCTCTGTAATGACCTGTCCTTCTCTTTCTCTGGTTTGCTCCTTCTCTTCCTTCAGGTCTCAGCTCACACATCAGTTTCCTGCATCCTCCCACCTGTGTTACCCTCACTTAGGACAGAATTTCCTGTTGCCAGTCTGTCCCCTTCACTGGATGGTGAGTTCCCAGGGGGCAGAAACTAGGGCTGTTCCTTCAAGAAATGAAAGAAGAAAGAGCGTTGATATAAACCACCAACTATGATGAATGAATGAAACTGCATTTTGGGGGGCCACCAGTAAGTATTCTGTATGGTCTCATATTCCAAGATGTTCTCAATGAGGGAGATGACACAAATCTCATGAAAACATAAATTATTTTGAATGCCCTTATTGTAAATGTCAAGTAAGTGGATGCTGGAAGAGGTTGGAGAAGAGAAATATGTATGGATTACAGCCGTTTATTCAGGGTTTCAAGATGCAAGATGTGTTGGTTGACACAATTTAATGGAAAAATATGCCCCCTGCAACCATCTCCCAGTATTGAGCATGTATGTCTCAAGGCTCTAGTCTCCACCTCCTTTTCTCTTCATTTTTTCATATATTATTGCCGTCACAGTTCAGTTCTTATATTTCTGACTGAACTGCTGCTACAAGAACCTTCAAATTGTTCTGCCCGTCCTCCACCTCTCCTGTCTCTAATCCATTATACATATTCCTGCTGGATTAATTTTCCTGACCACATCATTTCCTTACTCAAAAATCTTCAGTGGCTCCCTATCACACAATGTAACACTCCACCTTCATAACCCACTTCCAAACTGCTTTTGTAAAGCTTTAAGATGCATTCCAAAATTAGGAAAGAAACACATGTTCACCTCAACCAGCAAAACACTCATAAACATTAGTGATCTTCCATACCTCCTCTCCATTTCTCACCCCGTCTCCCAAGACATCCATTGTTAACAACCTGGGGTATAAGTTCTACCCCTTTCACCATGCTCCATGCTCGTAATAAACTGCATTCATGTATGTGGAGCTATTGTGTTATTGCTTATTTATACAAAAAGGATTATATGAGGGGTCTCAGCAAGTTGTTCTTTCTTAATAATAAATGGGTCTATAGATACAGAATGAATGTATTCATTTTATAGCTACATAGTATTTCAAATTTTTTTTTTAAAAAAAAGTGTGTGTGTGTGTATATATATATATATATATATATATATATATATATATATATGCATTTTAGACAGGGTCTCACTTTGTTGCCCAGGAGTGGAGTGGAGTGGAGTGCAGTGGCACATACATGGCTCACTGCAGCCTTGACCTTCCAGACACAAGCAATCCTCCCCACTCAGCCCCTCAAATAGATGGGACTATAGGCACACACCACCACACCTGGCTAATTTTTCTATTTTTTGTAGAGACAGGGCTCTTCCGTTTGCCCTAGCTGGTCTTGAACTCTTGAGTTCAAGGGATCCACCTGACTTAACCTCCCAAAGTGTTGGGATTACAGGTGTGAGCCACCGTGCTGGCCAGCTACATAGTGGTTCATATGCTGTATATACTACACTTATTCAACCATTCCCCTTTTGATGGGCACATAGGTTGTTACCAGGTGTTTTTCTCTTTGTTTTTCTGCTAATAAAATTTCTTACATCCATATCCTTGCAATCAGTGATTTTACTTCTCTAGGATAATTTACCAAAAATGCAGCTACTTACACATCAGCCAAATTGAGTTTCTTTGTTCTCCCTATGTTTTTCTTCTGTCTCCTCTCTCTGGAAAGCCCTCGTCCTCCGTGCTTGTGTGTCTAACTTCCAATCCTGCAATGGCCAAATCTGATACCAGAATTTAGATATATTACCTGATATCCACCTTCGTCATTTGAACTCTGTAGTAGTGTGCCAGGCCCAGGCAGTGGTTTGCGATTGGCAGAGGCCAATCATGACCATCCTGTTTTCATCTTTCCCAACCACCCTTGCATCCTGTAGCCAGGTGGCCATGCAAACTGTTTTGGCAAATGAGGAACAAGTAGAAGAACAGGGGTGGCAAAGCAGGAATTGAGTGTTGAGAAACACTCTATTTTCATGATCAAAGGGGATGATGCTGATGGTTGGACCCTTCCCTTTCCCCTCCTTCCTTGCATGAGCTTGGACATAATATCTAGAGTTGTAGCCATCTTGTGACCATGAGGGAAGATCCTAAAAACAGAAGAAAGAGACTTAATCCTGATGTCATTGGGACACTGAGCCATCACTAACAATCCTCTTTCTCCAAAACTTTTATTTTGTTAGAAAAATAAAATCCCTATTCGTTTAAGCCAGTGAAATTGGGGATTTTTCTAATTGTAGCCAGACATATTCTTCACCTTCTTTAGCAAGTATTATTGCCAATGGTGTACTTCCATTGAAATACCATGACAGTGGTCCAAAACAGTTTTAGAAACTTAGAGTCTTGTTTTCAAGCGTGGTTTTTGAAATAGCCTCAGAAGCAGGCAAACGTTCTTATGGGATGCCTTTGGTATTTTAGAATGGCCCAAAGATACTTGGAGGCAAGTGTAGTAATAACTTTAACCTTCAGTGCTACAGTACACTGTTGCATGGTGGACATTTAACTTTTTCCTGCTTATCTGGTTGCCTAACAGCTGAATCTCCTTCCTTGTTGGAAAGCAGAGCCTGCTTCCAATTACTGAAGTGGAAGAGGCCACATCCTCCTTCTCTCTGCCCCCCACCAATGGATGCCCCTTACCTGGGTCTCAGACTCAAGGGATGAGAAGAGGATTGGGTAGTTTGGAGACTTCTCCACAGCAGCAGTGAGCCCAGCATCATGGCATTAACTAGGAGGGGCAGAGAGGGAAGTCACTGCCACATGTGCCGTGATAATGGCAGCCACTCAGGCAATGACCTAACTAGGCTGGTATGGTAGCACGGCCAACGGCATTTTCATTTCCCAGCCACTGACAGTTACTGTTCACTTCCCAAGTCTGGATCTCCAGTGTTCCCACTGATTCTGTGAACTTCCTGATATCCTTCTGATACATTCCTTCTCTGCTTAAGTAAATCAGAGCTAGTTCTGGTCACTCACAACCAACAACGGCAACTGATTTGCCGTAGCCTGGCTCTTCAGGTGGCTTCTAAACAGGCCCAACGGTGATTACTTCTTAGTGGTGTCTGTGGGTTCCTGTGATGGGTACTTGTGTGGGACCCCGGCACCACACAGCCTGGCTGAATATCAACCCTGC